GACATGTTTGTCAGTATCTTCTTGCTCTTGCTAATTTTGTCATCCACTCCATGGAGTGTACTATGAGCATGATGAAGAGATTGGCATTGCCGGTGCAAATCATTAAGGACTGAAACCCTGCTGGGGTCGGGGTGTTACAGGTGGTATCAGAGCAACCCTGCGACAGTGTGCTGACCCGTTAGATATCGGGTGGACACTTAGTGGGGCAAAATTCTGGGGTCTGATTGAGATTGGTTTAAGGGCGCAACGAGGACGTTGCGATCCTAAGTGGGGGTGATTGTAATACCCGAGATTAATTTAAATGTATTAATAGTACTACTCATACCAATAGAGGTGCATGTCCTTTTAAGGGAGCTCATCACCCAAGAACTCCAAAGTTAAGCGTGCTTGCACGAGAGTAGTCTTGGGATGGGTGACCCCCTGAGAAGTTTCTCAGGGCGCGCATGAGTGAGGACAAAGTGCGCGGAAAAGGCTAGTGGCGGTTTGTGAGGACAGTATTAAAGGTCTGGAGTAACTACCTCGGACCCTGCGGGGTCGGGGTGTTACAGTATTTAGGTAGACTACGTTTAGAAGTCTATTACCATTCAAAAGATTTCAAAACTGGAATGTTAGACAAACTAAGTCTATATTAGTTATAGGCTTATATGGGAGGCTTTGCTATTTTAACAGGAAATCCACAAAGTTGTTTAAAAGAGATGGATACCATAACCCACACTTTATCTAGTATACTTTTCGTACATTCCATTTTCAGTTTTTGGTTGTTAGGCTCAGTCCGTTTTCTATAAGATTTCTACAATGTTTACATGAATTAATATGCTTTTATTCCATAAAATAGGTTAGAAACCTAACTATTCAAAATAGGTTTCACACCTTTCTAAAAGCTTCCTACAAGTGAAGACGTTATCTTGTAAAAAAGCAGTAAGGCATATGCAATAAGTGTCAAGGAAGCATCAAACTCAAATGGGAGCAAGGCAGAATCAAAAGCAAACAGAAGATAATTCAGCACTCATCTCCAAAGAAGATACATTTGGAAAATCCAAAAGTGATCTCCTTTCCATGTCAGAAGGGTGTGCACTAATGACTTGTGGCAATTACTCACTTTCAGGAGGTTTGTGTGTGTGTGTTCTAAAATGTAGAACAAGATAGCTGCTTTATGAGTGTGTTAACACCAACACCCAAAAAGCTTTCAATTTTTTTTTCAATTTTTTGAAAGAAAATATCCAGTTTGGTTATTTTAAAAAATTTCCTGAAATGCAGTTTAGAATGATTAGCGATTTATTCTGTGAAGCTAGAAAGAGGAATTTGAAATGCTTTAAGAAACAGAGTTACACTCTTGCTCCACCTTTTCCTTCAGCTGGCAGTAATACTTTTAGGAACTTGTTTCAACTTTTATTACATTCATACAATCAGTTTCTTATATTTTTACTGTGTTTTTCAAATTTGGATCACTAATTTAACAAATTGTGCTAAAAATGTTGCATGGAGCTATCATTTTGACATGTTTGTCCGCGTGACTGTCATTTTGACGGATGTTTCCGTATTTTCTATTTAAAATTAAAAAGAATTTGAATATTTTGTCATTGGGTGGCCCTTCATGCGCATCGTATTTCTATTCATGTCTATATTTAGCTTTAGATTACTTTTAGACAATAAATTTTACTTGCTCCTACCAGCAGTTCTTGAGGACTTTTGGAGAGTCTTGATTCAAACTCCTACAGTATCTTTTATTTGTTTCTATTAACCAAACCTATCATATTTATTTTCTATATAGTTTTTTTATACCCCCATATCATATTTGAGGCTTTAAGCTATAAAAGGGAAAACATATTAAGGCAAAAGATGGTATGAGCTTCATTCCTGAAATTGAGGAACGACAAAAGGGAAACATATAAAAGCAAGACAGGGCCTTAATCAGATTGAGGTCTGCATACGTTTCATTATTTTTCCCCAAAACAGTATTAAGAGTAAATACTTTCAAAAACTATTGCTGAATACACTCACAAAGTTAGAAGATTAAGGCTCGAGTAGTAACACTTGCTCGTAAAGTTCAATGAAATAAATTCAATTTAATGGTAGAAACTTGGAATTTGAGGTTAGGCAGAAAAGGTTGTAATTTGGACCACACTAAATCATACCAGTTGCATTCTCAACTAATATCTTCCAAGTAGAGAGTAATTAACAGTGCACAAAAACACTAAAAAGAAATTCAAAAGCATCACAGTTAAGGGAAAACAAAGCAGAGAAAGAGGATCCTTCCTGTTCAAATGCGGTGAGGTAGCGCATGAGTTTTTCCCAGAGCATTAGCAGATGTCATAACTTGAGCTTCACTGGAATTCGAAAAAACAAAGGCTTACTATCTATCTTCAATTTCACAATCAACAAGAGCTTTAAATGGAATCATCGATATATCTTCAATTTCACAATCAATAAGAGCTTCAAATGGAATCATCGATATAATTAAACTAAAAAATTGAAGAACCGAAGTGCAGGGAGAAGAAGAATGGAGACAAGGTGTTAAACGCCAGTGAGTATTCCCGACTTTCCCTCTGAGCGGAAGAAATGCAATCCGCCATATTTTAAACTGTAGATAAAGCAATAAATTGTAGTCACTTCTTTTTCGATTTACAAGTGTGAAATCAATGAACATCTTACGCGAATACTGCGAAGTATTTACAAATTGCATGCCATAGCCATTGAGAATTCAAATAGGTGTCTGCTCGCCATTACTGTGGAATATCCAAAATGTTGAGGTGCTTGACAATAGAAGAGGAGGTGAAAGGATACGACCGGGACAGAAATAAGCGAAAGTGAAGGCTAACGGAAGGGGGAACATCTAATGGAAAGGTACTTTCCGTTAAAACACAAGCTATAATATAAGTAAAAAGTACAAACACCCATACACAATGTACAATGACCGTATGCAGCAAGAGCCACCAACACATTTTCTATGACCGTTATACCCTTAACAATATTCACTCTTATAAGATTGTAGAGATGTGCATGACCCTTTAGTCTTGAATCAGTCTACCATACACAATGAAGGTGCTGAAATTGGTAAACAACTTTCTCTCATATTACACTAACATTCACCCTTAATTATATTATCATTCTATATTATTTAATTCCTCTTTAAAACTAATTTTACATATGACACACAAATGTAGGAAATGCATCAAACGAGCATATCGCCGGTGACGATGGTGAAAATAATGCACTGCCTGACGATCCTATACTTTCATATGAGGGTATTACCATACCATTTTACTTTTAAGCATATGTCACAACATATTACTTATTCATTATTTATGTTGATCATTACATTGTTGATTTATTTTGAATTAGGATATTTTGATATTGGGGACCCGATATGGAAGTGTGAAGTCTGTAAAGCTTTAATGTGGTACTCTGAGAGGGTGGAGAAATGACGCAAATCAGAAAATCCGAAGTTTTTGTTATGCTGCATGCAAGGGAAAATAAGACTCCCTCATCTCATGCCTCCACCACAGCCTCTGAGCGATTTATTCCATAAGAAGGATGCACGAAGCAAATATTTCTTACAAAATATTCGATCCTTCAATATGATGTTTTCATTCACTTCTCTTAGTGGGAGAATTGAAGTCTCCCAGAATGATGGCAACGGGCCTCCCATGTTTATCTTGAATGGTGAGAACTATCATAGAATTGGAAGCTTGCTCCCTATACCCGGAGAGAAACCCAAATTTGCACAACTATACATATATGATACAGATAATGAAATATCTAATCAGATGCAAGTTGTCGGGTAAGTGATTTTTTTCACAAACCATGTATGCAAATATAATTTCATTTTATGAACACTACTTTTGAAACGATGTGACATGGTTCACTTATACATGTTTTTTATTGTGATCATAGGATGAAAGATGATTCATCTCCTATGCAAACATCAATTGTGAGTGATCTAAAACAATTGCTTGATCAGTACAATCCTTAGGCTAAAGCTTACCGAATGGTTCGTGATAGAGTGCAGAACAATGAAGTCGCACCTCTAAAGTTGAGGCTTATAGGGCAAAGAGGACATGATGCTAGAACATATAATCTTCCTACAGCCTCAGAAGTAGCGGCTCTAATTGTGGGGGATTTCGATGCATCCAGTGGTGAGAGAGATATTATAGTGGAAACACAATCAAATAGTCTTAAGCGTGTGTCTGTTTTAAGCTCAGCGTATTTGCCATTGCAATATCCATTGTTGTTTCCAAGGGGGGAGCAAGGATATACAAATGATATTCCATTATACGAGACTCAAAGTGCAAGATCAAATAAGAGGTGCAATGTTTCAATGAGGGAGTTCTACGCTTACAGATTTCAAAATCGAGATAGTGAACGAGCATGCCTTTTGTTTTCAAAACGCCTGTTTCAACAGTTGTTAGTGGACGTATATAGTACAATTGAATCAACTCGGTTATACTATTATAGAACTCATCAGAAAGAAGTGAGGGCGGACATGTATAAAGGAATCGAAGAGGCCATTTTAAGGGGTGACACAAATCCGACAGCTGTGGGTAAACGCATTGTGCTACCATCATCTTTTACGGGTGGTGCACGATACATGTTTCAAAATTATCAAGACGCTATGGCAATATGTCGCTGGATGGGCTATCCTGATCTATTCATTACATTCACATGCAACCAAAATTGGCCCGAACTCTCCAGATACTTGAGCACCCAAGGACTGAAATCTGAAGACAGACCTGACTTGATTTGTCGAGTTTTCAAAATCAAACTCGATGAAATGATTAAAGAGATCAAAGAAGGGAAAGTTTTTGGATTAGTCAGGGCAGGTATGTATAGTGAATAGTTTTTTATCGATAAAATTGAATCAAAATTAATTAACTCAATGACATATTTTTATTCCCGTGGGTGAACCACAAAAAATGGTGGGTTAAATGCCGAGAACATTTAACACGTTTTATTAAAAAAAATTACATTATTTAACTTAATGACAACCTTTTCTTTGCATGCAGTAATATACACCATTGAGTTCCAGAGGAGGGGGTTGCCTCACGCACACATATTAATTTTCTTGCACCCACAATATAGATATCCACATCCAGATGATATTGATAAGATTATATCAGCTGAGCTACCAGATGAAGAGAGTGACCCTGAATTGCTAAAGATAGTATCATCTTTGATGGTACATGGTCCGTGTGGGGTAGAAAATAAGAAATCACCGTGCATGCAGAACGGTAAATGCATAAGACACTTTCCGAAAAAGTATGCTGAGCGGACGAGCATCGATGAAGATGGTTATCCATTGTACATGAGGAGGGAAAATGGCCGTGTCAAACAAAAGGGAGATCATGTCATTGACAATCGCTTGGTCGTCCCTTACAACCGTCATCTTCTTATGAGATATAATGCTCATATAAATGTAGAATGGTGTAACCAGTCCCGCTCCATCAAGTATCTATTCAAATATGTGAATAAGGGCCATGATCGCGTCACCGCAGGATTTTATGATGTTTCACCCCATCAAGCTGATTCAAAACGTGTGGATGAAATAAAGTTGTATTATGATTGTCGATATTTGTCATCATGTGAGGCTGCATGGAGACTTTTTGCCTTTGACATAAATTATAGAGAACCTTCTGTTGAGAGACTAACATTCCACTTGCCGGATGAACAACATGTAATATTTGACGAAGGTGATTCTCTTCAAGAGGTTTTGGAAGCACAAGCGCATAAGAAGACAAAATTCCTTGCATGGATGGATGCAAATGCAAAATACCCTGACGCAAGAGGTCTAACCTATGCTCAGTTCCCTTCAAAGTTTGTGTGGAAGCAGCCTGGACATGAATGGGTTCATAGGAAAAGGGGGAGATTGCATTTCGTGCCTCCAGCAACAGGTGAATTATACTACTTGCGTACATTGCTGAACCATGTCACGGGACCAAGATCATTTGTTGAAATACAAACAATTGACAATGTTGTGTATCCCACATTCAAAGATGCATGTAATGCATTGGGATTGTTAGGTGATGATAAAGAATATATCGATGCAATCATAGAGTCGAGCTTTTGGGGAACTGGGGAGTATATGAGGTTCTTCTTTGCTATATTGATGGTGTCTAACCAAATGTGTACGCCGCACGTGGTTTGGGAAAAAACTTGGAAGTATCTGAGCGATGATATTCAGCACAGACAGAGATTACTTCTACAGTTCATGGCAAGTATATTACTACTTTTTCTTGATTTATAATATTAATTGTTACAACCACATACATTAATTAGTTTCACTCAATAATACTAATAATAAATCATTTATGCAAATATGATAGAATTGTCTATTTCTTTTTTGACAGAGCTGATTCTATTGGATGATGAATTGAAGAGTTTTACTTTGGTCGAGATAGAGAAGTTATTGCACAAAAATGGAAAAACTTTGATGGAGTTCCCATCCATGCATGATGAGTTGAACTATGATAGACCATCTCTGGCTGCAGAACACTTGCATCTATTGTCAACCATGACTTCTGAACAGAAGAATATATATGAGACCATCATGCAATGTGTTAATGAAGATCGTGCCGGTGTGTTTTTCCTGTATGGATATGGCGGAACAGGTAAAACATACATATGGAGGGCGATATCCGCATGCATAAGATCCAAAGAAGAAATTGTACTGACAGTGGCATCCAGCGTAATAGCATCATTACTTATTCCTGGTGGGCGAACAGCTCATTCCAGGTTTGCGATTCCTATTAACGTCAATGAAGACTCCACTTGCAATATAAAACAGGGAAGTCATCTAGCTGAGCTAATAATCAAAGCAAAGCTTATCATATGGGATGAAGCTCCAATGACACACAGACATTGTTTTGAAGCTGTAGATAGGACACTAAAAGATTGGCTTAGATTTCACAATCCCGACAGCTTGAAACCTCCGTTTGGAGGGAAAGTTTTCGTTTTTGGTGGTGATTTCAGGCAAATACTCCCAGTCATACCAAAGGCATCCAGGCAAGAGGTTGTTCGTGCTACTATTAATGCCTCATACATTTGGAGACACTGTCAAGTTCTCACTTTAACAAAAAAACATGAGGTTGCAGTGTGGTTCTTCACATTGTAATGTTGAGGAATTGAAAAAATTCTCGGATTTGGTGCTCAAAATAGGAGATGGAAATATTGGGAATGTCAAAGATGGAGAGGTCGTCATTGATATACCTGATGATATGCTTATTATCACGTCAAGTGATCCTATTTCCTCAATTGTTGCTAGCACTTATCCGTCATTTCTGGACAATATGTCTGATCCATCATATTTTCAGCAAAGAGCTATTTTGACACCCACAAATGATGTTGTAGAGCTATAAATAATTATATGATTTCATTGATGCCTGGAGAAATGAGAACATATCTGAGTTTTGACAGCCCGTGCTCGCTTGAGGGCAACATTGGCGCTGAATCTGATGAAGTGCATACTGAAGAGTTTCTAAATACCATCAATGCATCAGGGATACCGAACCATAAATTGGGACTAAAGTTTGGTGTTCCTATTATGTTAATGAGAAACCTTGATCAGTTCTCTGGCTTATGCAACGGAACTCGCCTGATTATTACTAGGTTAGGTAAATTTGTTTTGGAGGCGAAAGTTATAACCGGAAAAAGTATTGGTCAAAAGGTTTTGATTCCACGACTATCATTGGTCCCGTCGGATAGCAGAATTCCTTTCAATAATTGTTTCTTTTGCCATGACGATAAACAAAAGTCAAGGACAATCTCTAGATCAAGTGGGCATATATCTTCCAAAATCTGTCTTCACGCACGGTCAATTGTATGCGGGCCGCGCTATCAACACCACAAATAATGTCTTATATAAAGAAGTTTTTTGAAATTTGTGAAACTGTTTTTTTTTTATTATCAACATATATGATTGTTGCTCATTGATTTGTCAACTTATGTTTATACATTAACATTTATTTTAATTTTCTTTCCATTTTTTCATACGATTTGAATTTTCCTACAACTGCGACTATGTATATACTAAAACGTACGTAGTACAACATATAAATTCTATTTGTTTTGTCAAAACTAACACATAATGTACCATGGTAAAACATAATTTAAAACAATTTATTATCCAATTCTAGATATACCCCGTGCATCGCACGGGTACTTTGTCTAGTTTTTATGAATACTTTAAGTCGGGAATCACTTAGGATTATTATTTTAGAGTCCATGAAAGAAGAGATTATTTGTGTAAATCACCTAGTATATTTGACCTTAAACTTATTTCTACTATAAATTTGAATTACTATTCAATATTTTTCATAAAATATGCTAGAAATATTTAAACACATTCTCATCAAATCCGCTTTTACCCGTTCATTTACTATACATATTTTATTTATATTTAGTTTTAGTTTTTAATATAATAGGAAATTCAAATTTATTTTAGTAATACTACATTAAATATTACTCCGTAATACAAATTACAAAGTACGTAATATATGATAATTATTTTAACTTAGTCAAATTTTTTAAATTCAATATCTCTTATAATTTGAACAAATGATTTACTAAATTGTTATAGAAAAATATGTTTATAATCATATATATAGAGAGAGAAAGAGAATGTTTTCATGTATATATATATATATATATATATATATATATATATATACAGAATTTGGATCAAATAAAAAAAAGTCTTAACGTGTAAAATGATAATTAATCTTAGGCGTCCAAAGTGTCGATCCGATGCACAATAATCCCTATCTGATGCACTTTCGAATAGACCTTATTTGATGCACTTTTGGACGCCTGAGATTAATTCTCATTTGGACCCCTATCGAAAAGTGCATCAAATAAGCAGTGGCGGACCGAACATGGGGGCAAATGGGGGCTGCTGTCCCCCCAAAATAAGCCTGAGATAGGGGTCCAAATGAGATGGGGACTGCTGTCCAAATAAGCCTGGTCTGACCTGGCCTGTTTCCACCCCTATGGAAACGGGTTCTTCATACTTTGATTCCTTATTGATGATATTAGACAAATGATTGTTTACGAGTAAACTTTTCAGTCAATTTGTTTCACGATTTGGGAATTGTGTTACACATGTTTTTGTAAATTTTGTTTATTTTCTTGTTTAGAATTTTGGGAGCAGCCCGGTGTGGTTTGTTATTCCGTTCTTTGCTTAGTTGTTTAATTTTATAGTTTAGAGTTGAAATTTTGCTTATTTATAGGAAAGATGTACTAAGTTGAACTAGTGTGTGTTTACTGTAATGTCCACTTTGCAGGTGAAGTATGATAGAAGCAAGTGAGGTTTCAAACGATGAAGTTGGTAGCATAAGAACTGGTTTCATTCTGTGCAAGTCTGCAAAAGAAGATATGTGAAGGCTCTAGGAAGTGTGGTGTAAAAGTTAGACTTGTTAGCGTTTTGTTCTTGTATATTAGTTGTTGTTTCGGGGTGTGCCCCCATGAATTATGTAGTATGTACATTCACATTTATGTGAGAAATTGAGATATAAACAAAAATCTTTGAATTTTGGTTATTTATTAGTATTAATTATATTACATGTATGTGTGTGTGTGTATTGAAATCAATGTTTAGTTATGATACTAATGTATCATATATCTTTATGATAACAGAGTGTCAAAAAAAGTTATGATATTATAACGTCATAATTTTATGCGATATTTTATTGTCATAATTTTGTGACACTAATCTGTTTAGCAATTAGCAAAAGTTATGATATTAGTGTCACTTGCCCCGCTTTTCTGTGACACTTTCAGTGTGTCATTAAATCGTTTAGTGACACTAATTTAATGTCACTATAAGCCATTTTTTTAATAGTGGTTATTTCCATGTTAGATTGTAGAGAATTATTAACTCTCCTTGTGAATGTATATTGTAAGCCATATGGCTAATAACTTTTTTTTGCTGCACTTTCTCTTTTCTTATAGTATCTGTTCTGTTAAAGGCCAACATCCTTGATTGCGATGAGTTTCAAACATGTGACCTTCTCCTTGGAGTATCATGGTGATGTCATCGAACCACAAGGTGCTTGGCATAAGGCTAATAACTTAATTGAGTAATGAAATGATTAAGAGTCTGCTTCAAACGCTTAAAAAAAGCGTTTCTCAGCCTTTAGCTTAAAAAAACTAAAATTAGTGTTTTCATGTGCCAACTTCTACTTTTTTTTTTATCATCAATATGGCTTTTCATAAATGTAAAGCAAACACGCAAGACATAATCCAGACAGCTATAACAGATCCGATCGTAAGCCCTGAGAATAGACTTAGAGTCAGCCACTCATACAAAGCAACCTAACTCGCTAGACACAAAACGGGTAAGAAGAAGCCTAAAACGGTCAAAAATGAAATAATGTCTATCAAAAGTTCTTCAAAAAATCAAAATACTCCAACCACATTTGCTCAAACTGAAATAAAAATAAGTACTACGAAAGGAAAAATAATATGAAAATAAAAACTTTCCCCAAATTGCTTCCTCACACGAAGGTGATTCCGGAGGAGGGCGAGTTGTTGTAGTATGGTAGTAGAGAATATCAACCCCCGAAAAAATCGTTTGAAACTCTATTCTTCTTGCGCTCGCCAATTTGCTCCTTGAGATTTGCCATTGACATCCATGTCCGAGATGCAGAAGAAAATTCTATCATGTTGCTTTGGGATTCTTCGCCCACAAAAATCCAAGCTGCACCCCACCGACCTTGCGTTCCACACACGTTCCGAAACTCCAAAGAGGAAAGCTGCACGAAGTTCTCGATCTACGAAAAACCCAGCCGCACGAACGAAGCTCGATCAGCGGAACAAAAAACCCTAACAAGTGTAGGGAAGACAGCCGCTCCTCGAAAGAATCGATAGCGAAGAAGAAAACCCTAGCGATGGAAGTCCACCCTAGAGAGATGAGGTTTGGCAACGCCGTGCGCATGAAACCAGAATCTTTTAACAGATCGAGAAGAAACAGATCATTGGCAGCCGGCCGTAGGTGAATCCCCTAAAACCGTACAAATACGATGTGAAGGAGAAGAAAATTGAATCTAGTGACAACTTCTACTTAAAAAATACACTTCTTGGCTTTTGGTTGAAAAATATTTTTTTACTTTTTCTATTACACAAATAGCACATATTTTGCCAAACACTACCAACTTTTACTTTTCAAAATCACTTTTTTCTCAAACACTATCAACTTTTACTATTAATCACTTTTTCCATATCACTTCAAAAAGTTTTTTTTAAAGCAAAAGCATTTGCAAAAACTTCCTAAGTTTGTTTTTCAAGTAAAATAGAGGCTTTAATCCCATATCGAGTTGCGGTCTGCTGGGGTTTCTTGCTCCATGCGAGTTTTATTTTTCTCCGACTTTGTGCGTAGCAACAATTTTCAAATCTAGAAGATTGTGTTGGGGTCTTTGAGCGAACATAGGTATTGGTTAGCAAGAGCATGCCGTCACTTTGGGAGAGGCCTTGATGAAGCAATTTTTGTCCGATGGCAGCGGAATCTCTTGCTCCACCGCGCCTATATGGCTGAGATTGAGAACAAGGTCAGGGCAGACGGATCGTGGCAGAATGGGGATGAGGTAGATCCAAACATCCACCAGCCATGGGGGAAAGGTTCTGGATCGGAAGAAGTCAGGGCTGCTGGCGGTGACCTCCTACGGGCGAAAGAAGACGAAGAGATGTTGATCCGACCCCCTCCCGAACCGCCGCCATGGAGGAATTGTGTGACTATGGTTTGGATTGTTTTTAATGAAATGTAAGTATATTATAAAGAACATCCAAGAGACAAGAGTTCAGAATGTACAGACAAAAAGGAAAAAACAAAAAAGAAGTGTATCCGACAAGGATAACCCAAAATCACCAAACAAGAGAGCAAAACATAAGCTCACGACCAAGCACAAGAAAAGGGTGCTGGCCGAGAACAAAAAAAGTATCAGAGCCCTATAAGATCATTAGGATAAAAGCTATAGAAGATCTTATACACAATATATTGGACCCTAGCAAAAATATCATCCTCCTTAGGGATCAAACCATCAAAAAGTGTAGCATTCTGGGTTCTCCATATCCAATAGATAGAGTAGCAAAAAGCAATCCTAGCCGCCTTAGCCTTCATGCCCGATCCTTGTCTCTTCCTCTTGATCCATTTCAACGAGCTATGCATGGTCCTCATCTCTCTTGGGATGTCAAGGCAAGTCTTCACCCTGTGCCAAATATTACCTGAAAAGGGGCAATGAAAAAATAGGTGTGATACTGTTTCCGGACCACCCTTACAAAAGGGGCAAACATTAACAACATCTAATCTATGCAAATTATCACAAGTAGCAAGACGGTTATGAAAAGCTAACCAAAGTGTGAAACAGAATTTAGGGGGGATGTAGTTCTTCCAGGTGAATGGCATCCACCTATGGGGTTCACCCCTAATTGTGAGCAGGTCATACACCTTGGCAGATGAGAGCTTGCCTCTAGTTTGGAAGCTAGTGAGATGATTAATAGCCTCATCAGTGTTGTCAAAATGTGACAAAATTTGGTCATGAACCAAAGCAATCTTTTTAATTAGTTGGGAGTCTCTTTTTTCGGTGTGACAAAAGTGGGAAATTATGTCTATTTCTGTTTTAGTTTGTTTGTGTTTTTACTTTGAACTACATGTTGTTTTGTTTGTCTTGTACGCTTATTTTTACCAGACACTTACATTAGGTGTGGGTGATGAGAGTTTTGCTCTGACCACGTTAGGCTCATTTAGACCTATTACAGGATCAGCGAATCATATTGTTTTGTCCAGGGTGATTGGTTCTTAAGCTGGTTCGAGAGTCGGTGGCTGAAAGTGTTTCATTTATCTATTTTGTCCCTTGCTGAATGTTTTTTTATGAATTTAAGCCGCCTTGCTAAAAAAAAGTAAAATAGATGCTCTTTTAAACAAAATGCAAAAACTTGTGCAACGGGCCGGGTAAAAAGGCCCAAATAAAAAATCCGCCCAAACATCATCAGTGATGCAGCGGGTTGTGCTCCTCTTCCGCGGTCAGCCACGGAGACGACCGACGATTCAACGAGCAACAACTGCACAGCTGTGACCGTCTGCCTCACGGCTGCCCCTAACTGCACGTCGTATTCTCGGACTCCGTATCTCCGACTAAATATTCCGTCTACTAGCCATCCAGGTAAACCTAGATTAAGCTAGTTAAACTTTATGCTCAAAACTCGTTCTTCTTCTTGCAAGTTGCAGTCCTTTGTTTCATACTCCGTATATTGCATTATTGCTCATTACAAATGTGTTCATTTTGTGGCTAAACTTGTAAAAATCCTGATAAAGAGAAAAAACTGGCCTCGCGCCTCGACTAAAATGGATAAAAACGCCCCTTTTAAAACTAAGGGGTAGGCGACAGAATCTAGGGATTCCTTATATTGCTTATCCACTGATAGCACAATCTTGCAGATCGGAATCTGCAATATGGTTTACATCACTTCTTGGGATGAGTTCGCCGAAAAATCTATTCAGCTATTTCGGCTTGATCCTGAACAGGTATTTCTTTTTCCTTAAATGTCCAGCTGCTTTTTCTGTGTCACTCTTGATTGGAAACATTTTGTTGCATATGCACTAAGAATCCGTCACACTTCAATATGATGCAGACGCGGTATGTTATGAAATACCGGCATTCTGATGGTAAATTGGTTCTCAAAGTGACTGACAATAAAGAGGTTATTTTCTTTACTTTTTTGGGTGTCTTACATTGTTTGTCAAGTGTGTAATGTGTTTGCCATAATTTGGTGATCTGGAATGCATGTGATACATAGTATATTCATTCAGCTATTTGTGCTGATTGATTTTCCTTGTCAGTATTAATGTTGAATGTAGCTGTTAAAAATGTGCCTAACTTGAACGGTAAAACTAACTGACAACATAAAGCTAATAATTAACTAGAACAATACCATGGTTACTAGCAAAAATGTATAAACTTGCTGCAAATGTTAGAGTCATTGGGATTTTCTTGAGAGTATTATATAATTGATGATAAAAGTTGTTGATTGAATTCATTAGGCCAGATCCTACTTACTTTAGTGTATAACCTTCGCCTAGTTGGATGTAAGACTATGAGTAGCGCTAGGTAGGAATATAACTCCTAATTACCTGGTCTTGGAGCACTATAGATTTACAGTTAAAACCACTGCACAAATACCACGACAATGGGTAATCACCTCTCAAATCCCGTTTTTTGATTTTGCGTTATCCTCATCTCTTTTTTTTAAACAAATGTCCATACTGAATTCTTTGAAGCTAATGATCCCATAGAAACTACCATCACTGATCAACTTGTTGCAAATCATGTATCCATGTTTGCGGCAAGTTGTTATACTCTAACTTGTCTGGCTTCTTCATTTCTGTTTCTGTTTCAAATTTGAGTCTCATTTCAAAAACTTTCCTTTTGTGCTAATTCAAACTGATTGAATTACTCTAGATCTCTAATAAATTAGGCTATCAGCAAAAGTGAAAGCTTTATTAAGAACATCAATTTATTTGAAATGAAGTACTTCTAACTTGCAAGTTCTAAATTATATCCTTTTGTTTCATATGCATGACTGCAATTTATGTATCCAAGCTTAGTTAAATGTTTGTCATTGAACATTTAAGTATTGATTAGATGGTTCATTTATTTTTTTCTGTCAATGAATTTCTTCTTGGCAGTGTATAAAGTTCAAGACCGACCAAGCTCAGGATGCGAAGAAAATGGAGAAGCTAAATAATATACTATTCACTCTAATGGCTCGTGGACCTGATGGTATTAAATCTATTATTAGCCCTTGTTTGGTTGGAGGACTTTAGACGGGAAGGGGAGAAAGTGTGCAAGTGGTTGTGTGTTTGGTTGGGCCGTTGGGGAGGTGGGAAATCGTAAGACAGTGGAAGAGCTATGGTTTCTTCCAAGCTCTACATTTCTCATTCCATTTGGAGGAGTAGTGTTTTGTTAAAAAAAATCACTTTTTTCAATCAAAATGGTTCTACATAATTGTTTTTGTATAACTTAAGAATCATGAGATAGTTGATTGCTGATGTAATATAACAATTGGAGAGTGTATAACTTAACTAATGGTGTACGAAGTAGTTATTTTCTGACGGAATAGCACACTGTAGTGCTAATAAAAAAAATTAGTCAATACAAATTACTGCCTAATAAAAGAATGGAATATCATTCTTGTGCTTTTGGCTATCATAACGATGCACTCATTGTTTCTTTTGCAGCGGATATATCAGATGCAGGTGGAAAGGACCAGCAAGAGAATCAGCCTGCCAAGAGAGGGAGGGGAAGGAAACAATAGCTACCATCATTTTTGCAAACACTTATATACTAGGTACCTGAAAACCCAGTGTTATCTATTTTCACCAACCTCATTATTCTTGCATTGATCCACCCCCAAATGTTGCTACAAATTGATGCTTTGTCGAATGTGAACTTGTTATATATTGAGGGCTTCTGTTTATTTTCTTTTAATATTACATCATCTTCCAAATGTAGCTCTGATTTCATATGTTGGTTCATGTTAGCTAATCCCAAACTCTTTTGGGATTAAGGCTTGAATGTTGTTGTATTGCAACATCTTTGAAATCGAAAGTTTGTTGTTTGTGCCTGTCAAAGAAGCTGGCAACATGCTTACCTACCTCCTAAGATTGGTTCATTGTTTATATAATCTGACACCCACATTTAGTTTGAAACAATCTTGTATATATAATTTCCGACGGCGCACCTCGATTACATTTATTTTCAGCTATATAGAATCAGTGTGGTCAATCCCAGATAGCGGAGCGGAGCGGCCAGCCCCAAAAACGCTATAGCGGTATAGCGGATAGCTGGATGACCGCTATTTAGGCTACTTTCAAAAATAATACTCGTAAATAAGCAACTACTAGAAGCATATATATAATAGTAATAATACATTGCATACACGTATTGAATTCAAAAAGTATGATATATGTCAATGAAGGTTGCAAACATCTTAACATTCATAAATCCTAAATTACTTAGAAATACTCTTTAGTTTCATGAGCAAAACAAAAGATGTTATTAATGATTAAAACATCTTAAGTCAAAACATTGAATTAAACAAGGTTCTAGTTTAAGAGTTTAAACATTGATACATTAACAGTCAAACGGTTTCACTTCCAAGCTGGGTCAAGGTGTTCTCATGTGGGCTTAAACATTGCAATAGACTGACTAGACTCCATACGAGAAGAAGAAAAGACGACTCACTGCAGGTCTGCAGCAAAGGTTGGAGAAGAAGATGTTGCAGCAGAAGATTGTCAGATACTACTGAGAAGAATGAAGAGGAGGGCAACATGTGTCGTTGATGATGAAGAACAGAGCAGAAACAGACAGAGCTTTCTTGGAGAAGAACTCATCGCAGAGCCGTTTTGAACTTTTACGTAAGTGTAAAAGGGTTTAAGTCGGTTAATATTTTGTTTTGAAAGTCTAGTTTACCCTTTCTACCTCTGCGTTAAAACTATTAACGCAAAAAACCCTAGCAGAAATGTGCCATCTGATTCACCCCAAAAACTCGCTGATATAGCGGCCGCCATTACCTTCTCCGCACCAACGCAAAAGCGCCCGCTATGTCCGCAACACCCAAATGCGACGCTACATGTCATCTGGTAGCGTCAGCTTGGTCCTCCGCTCCGCACCTCCGCTACAGCGCGCGATAGCGCCACTATTAACATCACTGTATAGACTATAGTCCCCTAAGACTTATCTCCTAGAGATGCGAAGTGTTAACATTTTGCCATTCATAGCTTTGATGATCCCCCTCCACTCTAGCTCTCCTGTGAATCCTGTGATCGCTTGCCATTTTTTCTGAAACACGAAATGATCCGCAATCCATTATAAATTGAAGATTGTGAATGATTCAATGTATATTTGCACCGTGCCACCAATTTATATTAAAGGTATAACCGTAAAAGGGGTTAAGCATTCATGGACCCGGTTTGGGCCGCCTGGTCCGGGACCGGACCGGCTCGGTTCTCAAGTTCGGGTCGGGCCTAGGCCCGGTGGGGGGGCGGGTCCGGGCTCGGGCCTTGTATTTGGCGAACCGGCCCGGTCGGGTCGGGTCCGGGCCAAATTGATTTTTTTTTTCATTTTTTGGGGTTCCACCCGGGTTGGGCTTGATGGTTAGGAGGGGTTTGGGGGGTGGGGGTGAGGGGGGGGGGGTTAGGAAAGCAAAAAAAAACTATAACCGAACCGGAGGCCCGGCCCGGACCCGGTGGCTACCCGGGCCTTCCTTCCCAAAAAAAAGCCCGGCCGGGCCCGGCCCGGGTCCATCTCCACGGGGAATTTGATACTTTCCCAACGGTGATTCCAAATTCCCATCGAAAATGTTTGAGATTTAGTGTCCATATTTGAGATTCATCTTACCAGTTATTCTTTGCACAACACTTTACGGCTTTACCTGCTTTAAAAAGAGACCTATCCAATTCTCGAGTGAGTGACTAAAATTACAATGGTAATAAACTTACCAGATTCACCCTAGGCTAGAGAGTAGGGATGGGACTAGGCCCGGTACCGACCCGGCTGGCTAGGACCAGTACCAGGCCTTGGGCCCAAATTGTGGGGGGGGGGGGGGAGGCTACAGGATGGGGTTTTGATGGTTTTTGGGGTGAAGGGGAGGAATAAATAAGAAAAACTAAATTTAAAAAAAAAAAAAATCCTGACCCGGGCCCAGCCCGGTCCCGGCACCGTGGCTCCACTGCCCATACCCAGTCCCACTCGATGCCCGGCCCGGTCCATCCCTACTAGAGAGGAACCAAATAAATTCCAAATAATATGAATCCTTCAATAAATACTCCGTAAATAAATAAATAAATAAATAAATAAATAAATAAATAAATAAATAAATAAATAAATAAATAAATAAATAAATAAATAAATAAATAAATAAATAAATAAATAAATAAATAAATAAATAAATAAATAAATAAATAAATAAATAAATAAATCAATGAATCAATGAATGAATGAATGAATGAATGAATGAATGAATGAATGAATGAATAAATAAATAAATAAATAAATAAATGAATGAATGAATGAATGAATGAACGAACGAACAAACAAACAAACAAACCTTGATGACGGCGAGGAAGCAACGGATACAATTCTGAGTAAATTTGGTACTTTGGTAGTTCGGTACTTCCTCTTTAATTTCTCCCCTTCCATTTTTTCCTTTGCGAACAAACATGTGCTTAACATATAAGCGCTTGTTTAAATGAAAATGTATGAACAATAACAAATGTGTGATCACAAAAAATGTATAATATATCAATTAGTCATGGACCCGGGCCGGTTCCGGGCCCGGCCGGGCTTTTTTTTTGGAAGGAAGGCCCGGGACCGGCCCGGGTAGCCTCCGGGGCCGGGCCTCCGGTTTGGTTATTTGTTTTTTTTTGCTTTCCTAACCCCCCTCACCCCCCTCACCCCCCCACCCCACCCCCCCACAAACCCCCAAACCCCTCTTAACCATCAAGCCCAACCCGGGTGGAACCCCAAAAAATGAAAAAAAAAAAAAAATCAATTAGGCCCAGACCCGGGCCCGACCCGGCCGGTTCGCCAAATACAAGGCCCGAGCCCGGACCCGCCCGCCCCCCGCCCCCCCCCACCAGGCCTAGGCCCGACCCGGACCCGAGAACCGGGCCGGTCCCGGGCCGGGCGGCCCGAACCGGGTCCATGACTAATATCAATGGCATTAATGTATACTCGGTAAGTCGGTAATAATCATTATTATATTTCTACAGTAATGGTTATAAATTTATTCTATGTTAATGGGAAATAGCCAAGAGATGTTTTTACGGGAACTATTATCAATCGAACGTATGATTATATTTTGTTCATAAATACTTGAATAGTACTTTAATAGATATATAGTTATATACTACGTATAAGAAAAGCCCCATATACTGATATACGTGAGTGCAATTTTGTTAATAACATCAATTAAGATAGATTATTATATTATAATCGGCTCATGAAGCAGTACTTAAAGAGTCATATGTAAATAAATCTTTGTTAGAGATTGAATCGTCCTAATATAATTAAAAGGAGCAACAATAATTCGATGTTTGAAAATACGACTCAAAATAATGTCAATTTTTTTTATCATCTTTCAGTATAAGGGTAATGTACTATTTAATGAAAAATATATTACTCGTATTTTGGAATATTATTTTATACTTAATTTTATTTATATAATGTTACAAAGTTGAAATATCTATTTTACTGCTAATCCGATTGCATGCCATAGATTACTTGGGGAATGTTTGCAAGAGAAAAAAAAAAACATTTCCCAACTTTTAACTTAAATTTTTTTGAAATTAGGGTTCTCAATTTTCTGTTTCAGCTTAAAAAAAGTAGTTCAAAACTAAAAGCTAAAATTTGGTAACTTGATATATAGTTGCTTCTAACTGCTTCTCCATTTTTTTTGTACTTAACACAAACTTTTTTGTAATAACAATAACCATTTAAACCCCAAATGCCCTGGAGTAATTACAACACCTTGCTTCTCAGGCTCATTTCCGTTTCTTGAGGTCCGTAATTAATTAAACAAAAATTTTGGGTGTCCACAAATTAAACTCTGTAGGCTAGGCTCACAGAGTTGTCTATATACAAACAACTGTGTATAAACCAAGTGTGAACCCCCAGCAAAAATGGCAAACCTGCGACCGCGGTGACGTCGCTGCGACATAAACCTCATGAGCTCCGCTGCAGAGGTTCCTGTGGGGTTTCCGACGCCGTAACCACTATCTCCGGCAGTCTCGACCAAGCAGCACCGACAGTTGTAACCAAAGCTCACATAGTTTGGTGAATTGCTTTTCACATATCTGTTTATGCTAAAAATTTACAGTCGTAATTATGCTTTTTAAACACAGAATCCTTCCATTAGCACTCTAAAAAAAATCCTTCCATTAGTTGTGGCCTTTTTGAGTTTGGATCGCAACTCTAATTTTCTTATGCTATGCGTTTTGATTTTTTAGTTGATGGTTGACCATTCAGCTTATTCAATTGTGTAGATCGGAGTGGCTGTAAATAATACTCCCTCCCTAAAATTTTATCTGTCTTACTTTCACTTTTGGGTTGTCCCAAAATAAGTGTCTCATTTCTCTTTTTGGAAAGAAATATGTGGTCCACATCATTTCACTTTATTATACACAAATCTCAACCACAACTTTTACTTTTTCAACCACTTTATTAATTATTGTGTCAAACAAAAAGGAGACACATAAAATGGGACGGAGGTATTAATAGACATTTCTTATTCAATTGTTTGGAGTGGCTGTGTTATACGGAGTATTATTTAGGGTAAACTAGACATTTACTTACTATTGTGGTTGCAAATAGTAATTATGTGGATGTAAATAAAATTTCCCTTTACACATATTTTTTTACATTAAAACTATAAGCAATTTTAAATTTGGGCTAGGCCGTAGCCCGGTTGGTCACCCCACCACCTCTGTCCCTGAAAATAGTTGTATCATAAAAC